TGACAGAATTTAGATAACTATGAAAAACAGAAATTAAGAAAAGAAAGCAGGGAGACAGTGAGGAATCATTTCACACATGATAGTCAGAAAAGGTCTCTCTGATGAAGTGACACTTGAGCAAGAACAGGCCATGTGCATGTCTGATGTGTTTGTGGATATGAAGACAATGATGATATTGAATAGTAAATGACCCCTGTTTATAATCCCTTCAATCTTCCATATCTCTATATAGACTTTAGAAGGCAGTGTAGGAGAAATCAGCCAGGGGAAGGTGAGGAGTAGGCGTTTCGGGTACCTACTAGCTTCACAACCATGAGAAAGTTAAGTAATTTCTTTAGTCTGATCGTCTACTCTAGTGGACCTCTGAAAGAATACAGATAAGAATATGGAGATAAGAAGGGACTACACTGGCTGCTGTGTCCTCTAGTCAGGCATTACAATTATATATTTTCTTAGGTAAAAGCAGAAATAAATGGGAAGAGAGAAGAAAGCTGTCATAAAACAGAAATTACATTGGGACCAAAACATCATTCTTTATGTAGGCTAAACATGAAGTCTGGCATGACAGAAATTAGACATTTTACAGCACATTTTACGGTCAAAGACATTAACTTCTTACACAAATGAAACTAAGAAATAGATTCCAGTTATAAGAGTACAAACAACTTTTGAAAGGAAGATATCTATGACAGATAATAATACCACTACAAAATCCGTATAATTTGCTCCACTCATAACTGAAAATTATTTAACTTCCACAATCTCTGCTTTCTGATTTTCTTTTAAAAGAGTATCATTATTCTTTAAATAAAGACTATAACAATATTTACAACAAACTGACATAATGATTTGTGTATTTCAAATACCAGTACTTTAGATCAGGTTAATGGTCAGCTAGACAAACTTTAAATTTCTACCTCATAAAACAATCATATGTAGCCCCTTAATCTTGTACAGCTTTCACTTTACAGTTATATTTTATGGGTAGTACTATAAAACAACGAGAAAATCAGCTCCACAGTCAGTGTTCGGGAGAGACAGTATAACTGACCAGATAACAGTCCAGAAAATCTCCATCTACCAAGGCTCACTTCATGGAAAATTTTACACAGTGAGGGCTACAGCCTTATTTAAAATTATATATTTCTACTAAAGCCCAGATCTTCATTTTTATGTTCCTGTTTTATGGCTTTGGTCTCTCAATTTAGATCTGGTTAAGCCTTTCCAAAAACCAAACCAAACTTGCCGCTGTTGAGTCAATTCCACCTCACAGCGACCCTGTAGGACAGAGGAGAACTGTGCCATCGGGTTTCCAAGGCTGTAAATCTTTACAGAAGCAGACTGCCGCGTCTTTCTCCCATGGCTAACCCTTTAGACAGTGCAAATATTTGGCTGGTTTGTGAAACGGGGCATCAAAATCTCTGAAACTCCAGTTGTATATCCTGAACATACCATGGGTAAAAACTGTCTTCACTGAATCTGAATTTTTCTTTTTTTGAATACTGGGATTTACCAAAACAAGAATTCCATGCTTCACTTACATAGTGCTAGTGGTAATCGCACAATTCGTTTATTTCTAAATTTCTGGCAAATAATCTAAGAATTTTATTTACTGCAGGAAATGTTAACTCACAAAGCAGTGTTAAAAAAAAATAAAAAGTATATATATGCACCTACCTTAGCAATAGGATTCAACAGAACTACACCTGATTTCTTAGTGATAACCTGTTTTGTTGTATAGTGATGATCTATAAGTTGAGGGATGTTTGTAAACCCAGTGCCTTCGAATCTATACAGATTCTGGAGAGAGAACAATAAAGTAGAATAAATGTTAAGACAGTGCATCAAAAAGACTACATTCATCAATGAATTAAATTCAATTTAAAAAAATTAACAAACAGATATGAAATGCATTTTGTTAAAACAATAACCAAAGAAAACAAAGCATGGGATACATTTGAATCAAACAACAAAACCTAAGTTTACGTATGTCTACGTATATGTTCCATTTGATAAAACAAGATGAAAAATAATGTCAGAAGTTTGAAGAAGTATATCCAACATAATAATAAATATTTAAAGAATATCTCTGATGATAATTTATTTTCTACTTAGCAACACAGTATTAATTGATTTTTCTATATTGAGGTTATTTATGCATTATCCATTCACCAAAAACATTCAGTTATCCAAACACTTTAAGCAAAAAAATAAAATGCACCAGTAACAAAACAGATATCAGTGTGCTCAGAGCTTAACATTTCTTCTAAATTTCGTATCAGGTAGGTAACATTTTCCCAAACTCTGCCAAGATGCCTTTTCTCTATCATATTTCAAATAGGCACACAAGTAGACTATCATAGATGAACAGATAATCAAAAATTTAGCAAAGAAAAAACACCTCATTAGCCATGACTTTTCAATGCAGAAAGCACTGCACTGTAATAAAAATTGTTATCTAATTGTTCACAAAGAGCTCACCTGTACATATAAAAAATGTGAATGTGCCCCATTTTAAGAAAACTCTATGTTAAGAAATAAGAACTTTGAAAACTTTCTAACTTTGGACATTATTTGCATTATCTTCCTAGTAAACAAACAGAAAACTCAAAGCACCTTTTTCCATAGTAACTGACTCGACCACAATGGGTTTTTTTTTTTTTTTTTTTTGGTTACCATAATTTAATTTACATACAACTTTTTAAATGAATATTTCTATTTCATCAAGAGAGGTACAAACATCTTTAGCTTTACTTTAATACTTAAAACTATAGCATATAATTTAACTCAGGCAGTTTGTGTAGAGTCAATTCAGGGCAGTTGTTAATAAACTGCCTAAAAAACTTTTGTACCGAGCAGCCAAACCTGGCTATATTACCATGGAGGCTTAGAAATATTTCACACTGAAGAAACTAATACAGTCAAAGGTATGCAACACACTGAACAAGTTACTAATCTCTCAGTGCCTCAGTTTATTCATTGGTGAAACAAAATAATCTTTGGACTTCTCACAGAATAACTGTGAGACCTGACTAAGTATTAACATGCAGAGCACTTAGCTCAATGTATGGCACATGGTATGCATTCAATTAAAATATCACCATATACATGATAAACCTTAGATTCCAAATCTGGGACATGAAAGAAACATTTTCAAAGAACAATGACTTAAGTATAGATTACATTTTCTGAAGGAATAATGATTATCTGTAACTAACTCAGTTAAGACAGAAGGTATTCTTATATAAAATTGATCAAAAAATAAAGAAATTTTAAAGGTCATAGATGCATAACATGTAACAACAACAACATTTCAACCTAATACACTATTTCTCCTACTGTCTTCCTTCAGTCTACTCTTAACACAGCAGTGGACAGGGTGGACAGTATTATAACGGAAATTTAATCATGTCATTACTCTGCTCAAAATCCTCATCTCCCTGAGAAAAAAAGCCTTACTGAAAGGATCCCTTGTGGCACAGTGGCTAAGTGTTTGGCTGCTAACCCAAAGGTTGGCAGTTGAAATCCACCAGCTGCTTCTTGGAAACTCTATGGGGCAGTTCTACTCTGTGCTATAGGGTCACCATGAGTCAGAATTGACTTGGTGGCAACGGGTTTGGTTTGGTATGGTCCATAAGGAAACAGTGGGGGATGCAAAGGGTTAGCATACTCAGCTGTTGTCCAAAAGATTGAAGGGTCAAGTGAACCCACAAGCACCTCAGAAGAAAGGCCCGGATATCTACTTCCAAAAAATCAAAACCAAAAAAAAACTTCTTGTTCAAAGCGGCCCTCTAGGACAGAGTAGAACTGCCCAATATGGTTTCCAAGGTATGGACTACTAGAAAAAAGGAACAAATCTGTCTTGGAAGAAGTACAGCCGAAGTGCTCCGATTAACACAGTGGCTGCAACAATGGGCTCAAGCATAACAACAATTGTGAGGATGGCACAGGACTGGACAGTGTTTCCTTCTGTTGTACACAGGGTCACCATGAGTTGCAACCTACTTGACAGCACCTACCAACAATCTTTACAGAAACCAACTGCCAAATCTTTCTCTCTCAGATCAGTTGGTGGATTCAAACCGCCAACCTTCTGGTTAGTAGCTGAGCACTTAATCACTGTGCCACTGAAAACTCTATGGAGCACATTTCTACTCTGGCACCAACGGGATTGCCATGAGTCAGAGTCGACTTGACGGACACTGGTTATGGCCTATAACAGCCTGTATGATCTGTCTTCCATCACCTCTCTTACCTCATCTCTTATAACTTGTTTACTCCTCTACAGCTACATTCATCTGCTTCTTGTTCCAAAAACTGATATATACATTCCTTCCTCAGGGCCTTTGTATTTGCTGCTTGAAACACTTTCTCAGATAGCATATAGGTAAGAGCTCCCTTACTTCCTTCCAGTCTTTCAACAAATGTCACCATTTCAGTGAGGTCTACCCTGGCCACTCTATACAATTTCAATATCCATTGTCTCACCCCAACTAAATTCTTTATTTCCCTTTACTGATTGAATTTTTCTCCTTAGAACTTATCACTATCTAATACCATTTATCTTATTTACTGTCTATCTCCCTCTCTAGAATGTAAGCTCTTGAGGTGACAGACTTTTACATTTGTTTTGTCATCACAGTATCCCTAAGGCCTAGAACAGTTTCTAGTATATACCGCCTGAATCAATAAACATGGGTGAATGAATGAAACACAATGCATACTAAATGACAGTAAACAAGTTAAAGAGACAAGTAAGACAACTTAATTTAGAAATGAACAGGGAGGTTCACATACACAAACTCAAGATACTTAAGTACAATGTTTGGAAAAGAGTAAGTAATGAGATGCAGTTCACACAGAATAAAATTTCAAAGCAGCCTCCAGTGCCATAATGCCTCAAGTAAAATTCTAATACAACTCTGTAACTAGAGAAATATTTAATAAAATAATATCAATTTTAATTTTCCCTATCTTACTGGGGAGCCCTGGTGGTACAGTGGTTAAGAGCTCAGCTGCTAACTAAAAAGCTGACAGTTCCAATCCACCAGCCAGTCCTTGGAAACCCTACAGGGCAGTTCTAATCTGTCCAACAGGGTCACTATGAGTCAGAATTGACTTGACAGCAATGGTTTCTTTCTTTTTTTCCTTAATTTAAAAATACATCTTGTTATTAAAGATAGTTGTATTCCATTGACAGAGTAGTCATGACGTACTAATACAGCAATACAAGCAGCAGTACTTATTTCATGGGCTGCAAATAAATTAAACAATAGCAATTATTTTTTTAAAGCAACCACTCTAAAATCAGGGAAGGTCTCAGAGCCCTAACACAATGCAAAAATAGATTCACTTACTTTCTTAAAAATGAAGATAAAGTAATTAATCTAAAAATGATGCTAAAACTATATACTGATCAAACTCATCTAAACAGCTAAAAGATTTAGCACAGTACATTCACTAAAACTGAAGGACCTATTACTTAATATGCTCAAAATTTCAAGTATTACATTTGACCTTGTACAGATCTATACACTCCTTGTAGCTCAGCTGACCTGAGGTTGGTTCCAACTACAGATGGCTGTTTTAAGTATCTCCAAATGCCTTAAGAATATTATGATAAAGAAAATCCAGACTAACTTTTAAATAAGAGACTTCTCTTATGAGCTAAGGTTACTACTAATGATCTCTTTTATGAATTCCAAAAGACGCAATAAAAAATAGTTGTACAGAATAAATTTCTGCAAAGATCATTTTATTGATTGCTATTGATATTATATTTTACAATACCAAATATGAAGTATATCATTGAATAAATAAGTATAAATAGAAAATATGGTATGACTCAATTTTATAAAGTAAAAATGATATAGATACATATTAGCATAATGTATTTTAAAAACCTACAAAAATATACACTGAACCGATAAGGGAATATTATGATGGAGTATATATTCCATGATACATATGTCTCCATTTTTATAGAAATTATATACTTTGTTTTTAAAACATTTACTATATCTAGACTTCTGGCAAAATGGCGCTCAAGTCAGAAGCACCACACCATCCCCCCACAGCAAAGATCCGAAAAACTAAGCCGAACAGAGAAAACAACAACCCTGAAACCCTAAAAAATCAAATGAAGAGACAAAGAACTCAGCCAAGCACCAAATGGAGTGAGAAAACTGACAGAGAACGGACAGCGAGGAGAGATTCATGCAGAGGTCCCCTATCAGCTAACGCAGCACAGATCCGCCATCCTGGACTCCTATCGGGGACCAGCAAACAGGGGGTACGAGAAAGCAGTTTCACGGAGCTTCCAGACGTAGACAAAACAACCGGTAATTTGCGATATACACTTTCCCACCCCCCACCCTTCTTCACCCCACTTGGCCTCCTCTGCTTCCCGTGGCCACAATCTCTTCCCCGGGAAGCACCGGCTGCTTGGATTCCACCCACCCGAACAGGCCGGCTCTCTATGTACCATTTATTGGCTGCTGGTGTGGCTTTTTTCTGCTTCTTTTGATTTCTTCCTTACCTCTCACCACCTCCCGCTCCTTTTGCTCAAATACCTGGCTCCGTGCGCCATATTTGCTTCTTCCTCAGGGGCTACACAGCTCCGGTAATTTGTGATATACGATTTCCCACCCCCTACTCTTCTTCACCCACACTTAGCTCCTCTGCTTCCCGTGGACACAGTCTCTTGTCCGGGAAACACTGGCTGCTTGGATTCCACCAGCCCGCAATAGCTGGCTCTCTGAATGCCATTTGCTGGCTGCTGGTGTTGCTTTTTATCTGAT